AACTGCAGCTTCAACCTCCTGGGCTCAAACAACCTCCTGCCTCAGGCTCCTAGGGAGCTGGGACTACAAGCACACACCACCACCTCTGGATAATTTTTTTTTTTTTTTTCTGAGACAGAGTTTCACTCTGGTTGCCCAGGCTGGAGTGCAATGGTGCAATCTTGGCTCACTGCAACCTCCACCTACCAGGTTCAAGCAATTCTCCTGCATCAGCCTCCCAAGCAGCTGGGATTACAGGCTCCCACCACCATGCCTGGATATGTTTTGGTATTTTCAGTAGAGATGGGGTTTCACCATGTTGGCCAGGCTGGTCTTGAACTCCTGACCTCAGCTAAACAGCCCAACTCAGCATCTCTAAGTGCTGGGATTACTGGCGTGAGCCACTGCGCCTGGCCAGTTTTGTTTTTGTTTTTAAATTTTTTGTAGAGATGGGAGTCCCACTCTGTTGTCCAGGCTGGTCTTGAAGTCCTAGGCAAGAGTTCTTAGGGAATGGGCATGGTGGCTCTTGCCTGTAATCCCAGCACATTGGAAGGCTGAGGTGGGTGGTTCACTTGGGGTCAGGAGTTCCAGACCAGCTTGGCTATCACAGCAAAACCGTCTCTACTAAAAATATAAAATTTAGCCAGGTGAGGTAGTGGGTGCCTATAATCCCAGCTACTCAGGAGGCTGAGGCACAAGAATCTCTTTAGCCTGGGAGGTGGAGATTGCAGTGAGCCAAGATCATGCTACTGCACTACAGCCTGGGAGACACAATGAGACTCTGTCTCAAAAAAAAAAAAAAAAAAAAAAAAAAGAAAAAAAAAAAAAAAAAAAAAAAAAAAAAAAAAAAAAAAGCCATGGAAGGAAATGATAAAACCAAGCACTGAGCTGATAAAAGCAGAGCACATGTATCTCTGCATACACATAGCCTCAATTACTTAGGGACCAAATAACTTTTCTGGTTATTCGAATGGCAAATATCTACCATTCAAATTATATTTATAAAAGTCAAAAAATAATGACTATAGCTATTTTGAAAATCTTTTTTTCTGGCCAGGCACGGTGGCTCATGCCTGTAATCCCGGCACTTTGGGAGGCCCAGGCGGGCAACAAGGTCAGGAGTTTGAGACCAGCTTGACCAACATGGTGAAATCCCGTCTCTACTAAAAACACAAAAATTAGCGGGGGGGGGGGGTGGTGGTGGGCACCTGTAATCCCAGCTACTCAGAGGCTGAGGCAGGAGAACCCCTGGGGCGGAGACTGAACCCCTGGGGCGGAGATCGCGCCACTGCACTCCAGCCTGGGTGACTGCAGAAGTCGGTCTCCAAAAAGAAAAAAGAAAAATTTCATCTGTACTAAACATGTAGACTTTTTTCTTATCATTATTCCCTAAACAATACAGTGTATAACACCTGTTTGCATAATATTTACATTTTATTAGGTAATATAAGTAACACAGAGATGATTTAAAGTATACAGGAGGATATGCATAGATGATATACATCTACAATGCCATTTCATATCAGAGACACTTGAGTATCGGAGGATTTTGGTATCTGAGGGAGGTTTTGAAACCTCCATGGATAATAAGGAACAACTGTACTGAAAACACAAATGACCTGGGGTGGGGGGTGGGGTGGGGGATGGGGAATTCAAAGTTCCAATTATTCCATCCAGTGGGAGGGAACAAGTAATGCAAAGTAAATTCTGTCTGGTTTTAGAACATGCATTTCTACATCTATCTTAAGATACAGACAGATGATCTATGCAGATACGAGACTGGGTAAAATAACAAAATTAGATCCTAAAGGCCTAATTCAGAAGTTTAAAAGCTATTTAGCTTTCTCACTCTACCCTCTAATGAAACATTTGCTCCCCACTTCTGTGCAAAAATGGGCATCCTTAAGTCTTAGCCACTGGAAAGTATATAAAGCAGAACTCAGCTACTTATAAAATACTGCCAGTTTATACATTTCCTGATTAATTAAGGTGATAAATTAAGTCCCACAGTTTAGATGATGCTCTTTTTTCTAAGGGAAGTTGAAATAAACTGATCTATGTTATTGAGCTTAATTAAGCAGAGAAGGGTAAAATAAACATTTTGTTAATTTATAGAACTGTTCTACAGAAAAATTCTAGTTATAAAATTTACTGCTGAATTATGTTTATATATGTACCTGTATCTAAAACAATAATTTCTTATATACTAACTGTGAGATTCTTAGGTAATAAGACGTGTTTCTATAAAAAGCATCTTCAGTTAAATAAAACTTTTTTTTTTCTTTGAGATAGGGTCTTATTCTGTCACCCAGCAGTGCAGTGGCACCATCACGGCTAACTACAGTCTCAATTTCTCAGGCTCAAGTGATACTCCCACCTAAGCCTCTGGTGTAGCTGGGAATACAGCATGTGTTACCATTCCTGGCTTAACTCTTTTTATTTTTCGTAAAGATGGGGACTCTTTATGATGCCCAGACTTGTCTCCAATTCCTGAGCTCAAGCAATCTTCCTGCCTCAGCCTCCTAACGTGCTGGGATTACAAGTATGAGCCACCATGCCTGGCCAAATAAAAC